TCATTAATTCAGATTTGATGTTTAACCCAATGGAATCACTCTGTTTTTAAAACACATTCCCCAAATTTAATCTTGACACATAGATTATTTTAATTAGGTATATAGTATTTTTATAGGTAGTCCTTTCCTGCTGACAAATTATATTTCTACCAGCAGTGGCAGCTGGAAAGGTTTAGATGTTCTCTGCATACTGTAAGAATTTCATGTGATCAGTGCTTCCTTTTTGAGCGGCTGGGGGTGTAAAGGATGAATAGAGAAAGAGTAAACCCCAAAAGCCTGAAAAGAAGTGGTCAGAGATGTGGTGGAAAGATCAGAAAAACTGTCATTGTCAAATGCTGCAGGGAAGTCAAGGAAAATAAGGAATGAAAACCTCCCAGTAGATTTTTCCAAAGGAAAACTATTGTATTTGAATAATGCTTCAGTGAAATGGTGGTAGCCAGAAACCAGATTGCAGTGGGTTGAAGGTTAAACAGGAAATAAGGATCTAGAGCCGGCAAGTAAATATCAGTCTTTCAGGAAGCTTAGATAAAAAGCAAGAGAGAGAAGCAGTGGATGGAAGAAGGGATGGAGTCCAGGGTTTTTTATTTTTCTCCTCCAAATGGGGAGACTGGAACATGTTTAAATAATAAAGGAAGAAAACAGCAGGATGAGAAGGAGGGAAAGGGCAGAAATAATGAAGACAAGGAGGGTGGAGGAGTCAGTGGGAACACGAGAATCAGTCTAATCACCTTCAGGAGGAAGGCTAGCTCTGCATTAGGACAGATAAAAGGAAGACAGGGTAGGTGTGGGTGTGGGTATGTTTATTTTTGTTCCAAGAATTTGACCAAGTTTGGCCATATGACCCTTAGTTTTACCACAGAGTTGTACATGGCTGGGATAATATAAGATGATAGAGATTAGATGATCTCTGATGTATCTGTCACATCTAGGAGGCTATAATTCTTTCCTTCAAATACTTGGGGGCTTCATCAAATAAACTTCATTATACATATTGAATTATAATTTTGTTAGAAGTTTCATTTTTCTGAAATTTTTTCTCGTAAAAAAAAAACAATTCTAGCAACTAGACGGCTACAGATTTGCACAGATACTGAAATTCTAGCTGGCAAGTTATTGACATTTATGTAATGCACATCCATCAAGTTCCTTTCTTCCTAGTATAAATGAAGGAAAGCCTGCCTTATGTATCTACCTCAATAGACTATAAATTTCTTAAGGGCAATAATCACATCTTATTTGGCATTGTCATTATTTTTTCAGTGCCTTACCCAGTGTCTGGCAATTAAATATTTGCTGAGTGAATGAGTATATGTAGGGTATTACTTAATTGTGACAACCAATGTTATGAAAGCTGTTTAGCAAGAGAAACCTGAAAAGCTAAGATATAGAATGCATGGAAGTGATCAGCCTTTAAAGCTGTGGTTTCCAGCCATCACCTGAACTGAAATTTATTTTTATACTATTAAAAGAAAAGTATGAAAATTCACCTTAATCTGATGCATTATCTATAGCAATGCAATTGTAAAATTTGTATCGTATTTTTGACTTTTCACTTTTGTTTGTCCCTCCTAGCAACTTATTCCATACGTGGAAGAAGATGGCTCAAAGAATGATGACCGGGCTGGCCTGCCTCGTTTTGCTAGTGAAGAGAGGCGAGAAATTGCTGAAGTCAATAAAGTGAGTTATTGGTCTGTAAATTTTACATTTTCAAAATTATCTATAAAAAATTACAAGGGAATCTGATGTAACTCAAAAACATAATTTGAATTATAGAATTACATGAAGTTGTTTCTGTGACACACTTAACTTACTTAGAAAATAACCCAAAACTAAAGAGGAAGCAGAAATGCCATCTGAATGGTCAGAAGAGATATGACAAAATGCACACGATAAAGCTCTTAGAAGAGCTCCTTCAACACTTAGTCACAATCCATTTACTTTTTCTTTCTTAGGCAGAATCCTAGATTTCTAACTTGCAGCATATTTGGAGCAGCAAATGATAAAAAAAAAAAAAAAATGTACAAATTAGGAAACATGAATGTCTCAACACCTAAGAAATTGAGGTAGCAAAGCATTACCCTACTCCCTCCCCCAAAAGTTCCTGACTTGAATGTATTTATTGCTGAATACTTTCAAAGGTTCAGAAGATAATGCACAGATAATTCTCATGAAACAGAGAGAAGTAAGGCCTACCAAAACCTCACAAAAAATAAAACTACCAATCTCTCTCTCTCTCTCGCACACACACCCTCCCAAATTCTTACTTCTCAGTAGAATTCTTCAGTGTATTAACATTTCGTCTACCACAACT